CGGGGGCGGGGCGGGGGGCGGAGGGAGACGAGTGGATCCTAGACTGCACCAGAACGGAGGGGCCGGGGAGGGACTGGACGGGGACGGGGGCGGGGGGCTGGAGCAATTCAAAGTCACCCCGAAGAGCGGGGACGGTGCTCGGCGTGGTAGGGACCGCGGCAGTAAAAGGACACTAAGAGGGAGAGTCCAGGTGGGCGTAGGTCCACTCTCCGGGGTCCACCCACCTAGTCTGTACGGAGTGAGCAACTGGTGGTGGAAAGGGTCCTGAGAGGCGCACCCAGTCGGTGTGGTGCTGGGTTCCTATCCTGGTGGTTTGGGGATTCGGTTAATCCGCTAACGAGTTGAGGAGGCAGATTACACCCCTTACAAATTTTGTATTTAAAGTCGTCACCTAGTCTAGTCTAGACCCTGACGGTCCTGCCCTGCTGGGCCCTATTTGAGTCTTCTCCCTCCTGTCCACCTTCCTGCCTCCAGCCTCCGCACCCCACTCAGTTCCACCCCCTCCCCGCAGCCGCCCCTGGTACCTTCCCACCTTTGAGTCTTTGTGCTGTTCCTCTGTAGAAATGCCACCCTTGGGGGAAGTTTCAGACCTATGCAGCCTATTAATTCTCAGACTACAAAATTTACTCTTCTATCTTAGCACTTACCACAGTGTCACTGATACTTCAATTCGCTCAGCCACTCAGACTTTGAGGAAACATTTATTGAGTGCTTACTATGTGCCAAGGAGAACCAATATTGAGCACAAACACAGGAGTCCTGCCTTCAGGAAGCTTACAGTCTAGTGGGGGAGGCAGAGATTAACCAAATAATCACATAAAGAAATAACACATTAGAGAGGTGCCTGGCACCCTGTAGGCCTTCTGCAGGTACCTGGTGAAGGAATACAGCTGCGATCAGTGCTATGAAAGAGGTATGCCAGGTGGGGTGCTTCCCTAAGGAGGAGATGTGAAGGAGGAGCAGGAGTTGACAGGTGAATTGGGGAGGAAGAGCACTCCAGATGAGCAAGTTCCTGGGGTAGGAAGAAGTGTAGCAGATAGGAAGACCTAGAGGCCAGTGTGACTGGAGCGAGTGACAGAGACACAGTTCAAAGTGAGGCTGGAGAGATGGACAGGCCAAGCCAGCAGGACCTTTAAGGCCTTCAAAAGTTTTGACTCTGGCCCAAGAGCAAAGCGGAACTCATGAAGACTTTCAGGCAGGGAGTAACCTAACCAGCTTGTGTTTTGAGCAGCAGTTGGAGCAGTAACCAGTGAATGCAGGGAGGCCAGTTAGGAGGCTATTGCTTGTGTTCATTGGGTTTGGGCTGCCTCCTGACTAAATGGTGAGTGCCATAGGACAGGGCCTCTGCCTGAGACCACACACACACACACACACACACACACACACACACACACACACACAAAAGATACCCAATACGCATTTTTAAAATGTGCCTGAGACCACACACACACACACACACACACACACACACACAAAAGATACCCAATACGCATTTTTAAAATCAGTCTGAAACCAGAGTCATCCAGCAACACTCAGCCCACCAAATTATGTATACAGGACCCTAAGGGCCTTGTGGAGCAGTGGGCTGGAGAAAGGGGACCAGGCATCCTGTTGACCAGTGTCTTCCGTGATGGAAACAGAGTTGGGCTCCCATCTCTCCATTCACTTCCTTCATTAAATGTGTTCACATTCACAGCCTACTGGTCCACACCCTGCTCCTGGCAGGATACACCAGGCTCTGTCCCCAGCCTTGGGCAGCAAGGTCCAGGTATGCTGGCCTCTGCCACACCATCTTGGGTCCTCAACGGTCCTGGTGCCGAAGTGGGGGTGATGGGGGATGCCGTACTGGAGGCAAGTCATAGTGTCCAGGGATGTGGCTGTTCTTGGGTGAGTCATAGTGGCCAGGGGGCAGTCCTGGAGGCAAGGGGGGCTGGGAGCCCACAGAGTCTCGGTCTGGAGACAGAGGGAACAGGACGAGAGGGAGGTGACTCCTCCCCTTCCCACCGTCCTCCCCTCTCCAGCTTCTTCTGCCCACAAGAAGTGGATGGTGCCTGTGCCGCTCTCAGCAAAAGCCCTCAGCTGCCAGTGGGAAAGGCCACCTCAGCCTGCCCACCTCACAGGATATGAGGACACTTTGTCACCTGCCTTGTTCCCCACCTTTCTGTGTACCAACTCCACTACTCAGGTGCTATACAACCACCATTTCAAACCCTCAGCCTGCAAGGTACGAACACCACTCTATTCTACACGTGAGGAAACAGGCTCTGACAGGTCATGTGACTTCCCTGACATCAGGCCTAGTTTGAGCCCAAGTCTGACCCCAAAGGCCTTGCCCTTGCTGCCACATCATGCTGCCTCCTTACGCTCCCTCTGTCCCTTCTCTCTTTCTATTTCCCTGTTCTAGTTCTCCCTAGCCCCTGCCCCAGTGGAGAGGGAGGGCTCACCATGGATCAGGGGGCTGGGCTGCTCATAGGTACCACTGTCTCTCTGCGACTGAGGGTCCCGCCGCCTCTGGCTGTCCCGGAGCTGACGAGGCTGCCTGGGGGGTGATCCTGAGGGTGGGCCTTTCATCTCCACATAGCTGCTCTCCCGGGGCCCCCCTAGCAGGCTAGGCAAGTCCCGGATGGTGGCATAAGGGTTCTCACTGCTCAGGGAAGCCACGCTGGTGCCCAACCCCTCTTCAGAGATGGGCCCTAAGGAGAGAGGAAAGAAGTCAGGCTCGATGGAGACATGTGCTCCTTAACCCCAGCCCAGCCCCCTCCCTCACTGCCCATACCTTTATTATAGAACGGACCGGGGCCATTACTATTGCTGCAGCTGTAGCTGTAGCTGCGGTCCAGGCGGCTGCTACCTGGGAAGGAGGAGGCAACTTGTAATCAGACCCTGTTCCCCTCCCCAAGTTCCTCCTCCTCTAGAACTGGGGCCCAGAGACCCCTTCTTCAGATGCACACACTCAGATGGAACAGGATGCTGGACTGCACATATCCATCCTCACCAGAGCCACAACCTCCAGCCACCTACCCCTGTCCAGAGGCCCTGGAGGGGGCTCCCGGCGGTGCTTCCAGTCAGCAGGCAAGGTGGTGTGGTTATCATGTCCGTGGGCTCCACCTGGATGCTCAGGGGCCTGGAGGCTGGCAAAGAGCTGACTGCCTGGAACCTGCTAGCGGGTGATGCAGTGGGAAGAGCAACATGCAAGGACAGGCTTTCCAGAGAACCCGGTCTGCACCCACCCCTCCTCAGCATCCCTTCCCCCAGCGCTGACCTTGTTAGGGGGTGGGGGATTAGGAGAGCACTGCGACAGGGTGTGGTAGCTGGGATTGGAGTAGTAGTGACTGTAGCTCGGAGGGACATCTGCATGACAGACACAGGCACAGGGTGAGCTCAGAAACGGGCTCAAGAGAGTTGTTCAGCCCCAGGAGGTCAGCAATTTGGCCTCCCTCACCTGCCTTCCTTCCTTCTCCCCACGTCCCATCTTCCCATGGGGTCATGCCCAGCAACCCATCCACCCTTGTGCCTATGAGCCAGCCACTCATTTGAGCCCCATGCCGCCATGCCAGCTCACCTGGCATGACATACTCAGAGCTGTCCAGTCGCCCGCTGCTGTAGGCCACTGCCAGGTGTTGGTGTTCCTTGCCTTTTTGCCAATAGCGGTAGCCAATGAATAATGCCACTAGGGCCACAACAAGGGACCCCAGCACTGCGATGCCAATCAGTGTGCCCAGCGAGTTATAGGCCACTGGAGAGATAGGCATCATGGTGAAGGGCTCCTGGCTTCCTGTGTAGGAAGGGGCAGTGATTTGGGATGGCATCTTGGCTCTGCAGGTGAGCTTGGGGTACATTCATGAGAGAGGTGCCCAGAAGGGACAGGTGGTATGAGGGGCCTAGGTGCTAGTTCCCTGGAGACAGTGGAGTAGTGGAGAGCAGCTAAAGAACTCACCGATCCTACAGGTTGCACCACTGTGCCCTGGGGGACACACACAGGCTCCAGTCTCTGGGTGGCACCTCTCTCCAGGACCACACTGGCATGACTGGGAGCAGTTGGCCCCAAACATGCCTGGAGGGCAGCCTGGGGAGAGAACGAAAGCGGCAGGCAGGGATCAGAGGAGCCAGGAAACTGTAGTCTCCTCTTTGGGTGAGGCCTATGTTGAGGGCACGGACATGGGATTCCCCTTCTGTTGGTACCTTCCAAGCAGTGGTGTCCAGTCCAGCCTGGGGGGCAGAAACAGCTCCCGTCTTGTGGGTGGCAGGTCCCACCGTGGCGACATTGACAGAGCTGGGCACAGTTGGCTCCCCAGTGTCCTGGGGAACATGCTACAGGAGACAAGGAGCCTGTCTGGCAGGGCGGAGCCAGCTCCTCCTGGATGAACTGTCAGCCCCCAGCATCACTGAAATCTTTAGCTCAGCTTTGGTCTCCCTGGGCGCACCATGGCTTTGAACAGTATCTGCACACCAGTGACTCACTAATGCTTATCTCCAGCCCCATCTCTCCCCCAGACCCTCGTACCCATCTATCTGCCTACACAACTTCTGCACTTGACTACCTACTAGCCTTTTCAATATAATGTATCTTGTGCCAGACAACCAGAGGCTTCCAAACCAGCTGGATTGCTAGCTCTAGACTTTAAAAATAAATAAATAAACAAATAAGAAAGAAGTAAACAGCCATCCTATGCTCTAACATTATTCTTGTGTCTGACACTAGCAACTAATCTAATAGGTGTTGCTGAATTCTATGGGAAAACTCTTCACAAAGATCACTTTCTTCTTTCCCTGCTGGTAAGCTTAAATCCAGCCATTTTCATAGTAACGGCCTCTCATTTCTACTTTTCAAAATTTGCTTTACTCAGTTTTTTGGACTAATCTCTTCCATAACCTTCTTTATATATTTATGTGAGAAAGAAGCCACATATAAATAAGCAAAAATAAATTGAAAAATGCAAAAGAAAAGAGAAAGAACATGTCCAAAATTGAGCTTATGATCTCCCCTGCTCCCATAAACATATTGCTCTTCCCAAGCTTCCCATGCAGAAGGGCAGGGAATATTTTTTTTTTTTTTGACCTGTTCATTGCTGCATCCTCAGCACCTAGATCAGTACTCAGCATGTAGGTGATGCCCAGAAATATTTGTTTATATTGTTAATATAAATGACTGAGTCAAGGTGAGTCCAAGGCTTTTATCCTCAGGAGCAGAGGACCAGAGACCTCTGTCTGCAACCCACCCTCTCAGCATGCACAAGCACTCAGACACACAAGCCACCACATACGTTGGGAGCAGTCAGGGCCTGTCCAGCCAGCCAGGCAGTAGCAGGTCCCATCCGAGGGGTGGCAGGAGGAATGGTTAGCACACTTGCAGGGCACACAGCGTTTGCCATAGCGGCCAGGCTGGCAGGCTGGAGGAAAGTGGTTCATGGTAATGGGGGTAGGGCCGACCCTCAATCAGCCCTTGACCCCACTATCTCCCTCCCTTCTTCCCACTGTAGTATCTGGCCTAAAGATCAGAGTCAGAGGGAGAGACCAAGAGGGGTTGAGTGGGGACTTCTAGCATCTGACACTGTACTACACCCTACTGCTGGCAGACAGGTTTGGGGGGGGGGATGGTAGGAAACCTCACATCTCTGGCAGAAGGGACCCCGGAATCCAGGTGCACACACACAATTGCCATTCTCAGGGAGGCAGGTGCCCCCATTTTTGCAGGTGCAGGTGTTGCTGCAGTTAGCTCCCCAGAAGCCCTCAGCGCAGGGCAGGTGGCAGCGGGTGCCTGTTGGGGAGAGAGGTAGGGCGTGTCTGGCCTGGCTCCCTCCTGTCCCATGAGGACTGTTCTGGACATATGTCCTGTGGGATGCATCCCCCAACTCCACAGCAGGCCTGGGGCCTGGATACCTAGAATGCTCACCCATCCAGCCAGACTGGCACTGGCAGTGTCCATGAACAGGGTCACAGCCATCAGAGTGGTCACAGTCACAGCGACTGGCACAACCTTCACCAAACTGCCCCTTCTTGAAGAGGGAGTGGAGATTAGGGTAGGCCAGTCAGCTGGGGGAAGCCATGCTCTCCCCTCCCCCAGGCAAGCAGGCTCTTGAGCACTCACTGGGCAGGGCAGCTGGCAGTGGGCCCCATGCCATCCAGGTGTGCAGGTACAGGCTCCAGTTTGGGGGCTACAGGCTGCCTCATGGGCACACTGACAGCTGGCATTGCAACCAAAGCCCCAGGATCCAGGTGGGCAGGGCACAGAGCAGTTTCCACGCTGCCAACCTGGAGGAAGGACCTTGTAGGTAGGCGTGGGGACCCAACTCCCTTCCTTTTTTTCTTCGTTTTTTCTTTGCAGCTGTCCAGTACCCAGCCCCCTCCTGAGCAAGCACACTCTGGGTGTTGGCTGTGCCAGATTCTATGCTATGAGATGGGGGTGAGAATGGGGGTACTCATGCCACCAAACAAGAGAAAAGTATATAAACTGTTAGATGTGGGACGGAAGGCTAAGTGACTCCCAATGATGCACCACCCCATTTGGGTCTTCGTTGCCTCTTCTGCAAGATGAAGGAGGTCAGCAGCAAACCCAAATGCTTACAGAGTCCCCATCAGGTAACTAAATTAGTTATCTAGATCATGAGTAAGATAATAGGGAGTAGTTAGGACTGGAGAGTGGAGGCTTGTTAAAGTTAATAGAGAGCTAGACAAACAAAACACAACGGTATCAGGATTCAGCCTAAAGGTTGTCAACGTGCCACCTCTGCTAGATCTCGGAGGTCCTTGCTGACGCGGCCATTGTGTGTTTCTGTATGGTTGAGGGTGAGGAATGTTCACCGGTGAGGTGCCTCTGGCCTGGTCCTTTAAGGACGAGTAGGATTTTTGCGGTTGAAGGCAAGCAAAGTGGATATTCCAGGAAGGAAATGGCCTGGATACTTTCCCACCGTCCAGCTGCTGCCCAGTTAGCTCCGCCCTTACCCTGCAGCCTCCTCCCTGCCCTTGGCCTGCCCCCACCCTTGCACCCTCCCTTCTCCCTACGGCCTCGCCTCCCAAATCGCCCTTCCTGAGACCCCATCCATTACCTTCCTTGCAGATGCACGTGCCGTCGATGGGTGAGCAGGCGATGGCATTCTCACATGAACAGCGTGCGGAGCAGTTGACCCCGTACGTGTCCGGGGGACAGCGGCTAGCGCAGTGAGGACCCTGAAAGCGGGTAGGCGGACTAGTGAGAGGGGCGGGCCGGCTCCTCGGCCTCTCCCCGGCTTCCTCGCCGCGGCGCGCGCCTCACCGTGTATCCCGGCGCGCCCCGGCAGAGGCCGCTGTCGGCCTGGCAGACGCCGCCGTGCAGGCAGAGACAGTGCTCCTCGCAGCCGGGCCCGTGCGTGTCCTGCGGGCAGCTCTCGTTGCAGTGGAGGCCCGACCAGCCCGGCAGGCACGAGCACTCCCCGTTCATCGGGTGACAGCTGTGGGCAGAGGCGGGGGTGCTGCATGGTCTGAGCTGGGAGCCGGGCATCGCCGGAGTAAGGGGGCCTCCAGGGAGGCTCGGCGCTGTTCCAAGAGCGGGGCTGGGCAAGTACAGGGACCCCAGACCCCTCCCCGCCCTCAACGCCCCTCCCTTTTCCCTTCTGTGACATCTGTGCTGCCCTTGGGTATGCTCCTGGCGTTTTTCGTGATTCCAGTGGCCACAGCCCCGAAGACCTCTCCCATTAGCCTCCTGACCCTTTGTCCACACGTCCCGCAGCCCACCTGAGGCTGTGCTCGGGGTCGCAGGTGCAGGACGCCTGGCAGCTGAGGCCGTAGAGGCCGTCGGGGCAGAGGCGCTCAGTGCAGCGGTCCCCGGTGAAGCCGTGTTCGCACAGACACGCGCCGTTGATCGGGAAGCAGCTGGCGCCTGGGGCGCAGTCACACTTCTCGGCACAGTCCTGCCCAAAGCGGCCCACCGGGCACTCCTCGCGGGTCTGAGCTGGGAGCCGGGCATCGCCGGAGTAAGGGGGCCTCCAGGGAGGCTCGGCGCTGTTCCAAGAGCGGGGCTGGGCAAGTACAGGGACCCCAGACCCCTCCCCGCCCTCAACGCCCCTCCCTTTTCCCTTCTGTGACATCTGTGCTGCCCTTGGGTATGCTCCTGGCGTTTTTCGTGATTCCAGTGGCCACAGCCCCGAAGACCTCTCCCATTAGCCTCCTGACCCTTTGTCCACACGTCCCGCAGCCCACCTGAGGCTGTGCTCGGGGTCGCAGGTGCAGGACGCCTGGCAGCTGAGGCCGTAGAGGCCGTCGGGGCAGAGGCGCTCAGTGCAGCGGTCCCCGGTGAAGCCGTGTTCGCACAGACACGCGCCGTTGATCGGGAAGCAGCTGGCGCCTGGGGCGCAGTCACACTTCTCGGCACAGTCCTGCCCAAAGCGGCCCACCGGGCACTCCTCGCGGCACCTGGGCGCCTAGCTGAATGAGCCCACCGGCGCCCCACCTCCTTCGGGCCCGCCCGCCACCAACCCCCTCGCGCGCCACCACCACTCACCGATCCCCTATGTAGCCCGGAGTGCAGTGACACTCCCCAGTGAATCTGTCGCAGAGGCCTCTGTTGTGACAGCGACATTCCTGGTAGCAATTGGGTCCGTGGAAGCCCTCTGGGCAGGGCAGGGAGCAGATGGTACCCTGTGGAGGCAACACAGAGCCCCACACACCGAGCCCTTCCTCACGGCCACAGGATCCCTTGACACCCCCATACCCTCAGAGCCCTCAAACCTCTTCAGAGCTTATAGATCCCACCCCCCTCACACACATCCTCCTCCAAGCCATTTAGAACCACCCACAGAATTCTCCCCAGGCTCCCAACCTATACCCACAGGCTCCAGCCTTCATACCATCCAGCCAGGTGGGCAGCTGCAGGAGCCCTGGGGGTCCAGGAGGACACCTCCGTTGTGACAAGGATAGGTGCTGGGGCAGAAGAAGCCAGCAGTGCCCTGAGGACAGGACACATCACAGCTGCTGGACAGAGTGGGTGACGTCAGTGTGTAAATAAGCAGGACCTGCCTCCCCCCTTGCCTCCAAGGGCTGGCCACCTGCACACAGGTCCTGCCCAGGAGGAAAGCCTGACCTTGGGACTCAATGGTTCACACTGCCTCTGCCTGCTGGAGACTGCAGGAGTCAGAAAGCAAAGGTGTCCAGTACTGGAAGTGGCAGGGACAACACCCCAGCACCAGCAGGTGGGGAGAGCAGAGAGCCAAAGGTGGCATGTCTGCTTCTCATGCGCCCTACACTCCACCTCCTCACCTTTGCTCAGGTTGTCCCCTCTGGGGGAACACCTGTGCCTACTGTAGTTTTTCTGCCCTGGAGGGCTCCACTCTGGGAGCTCCTCCATGAAGCTTGATCCCTGATCTCCTCCTATAGGTGCACCTTCTCCCTCCTGTGACTCCTCAGCTCTCCCTGCACCCCGCCTTGAAACGGGGTTCTCTGGGTCCTGTCTCAGCCTCACAACATGCTTTCACACACATGCTATCTCATGTTATCTTCACAGTAACCTCTCCAGGTAGACAGTGCTGTTCCCATTTTACAGGAGACAAGATCGTGGAGACTCAATGATTAGCTCAAGGTCATTCAGCTGGTGAGTGGCAGAGCTGGGACTAGGATTTTGGCCTCCTGACTCCATTTCCATGTTTGGGACCCTGTCTGAGTCCCCTCAAACCCCATGTATGTCTGTGTGGCCCTGTGTCTGCAACCTCATCAGTGTGTTGTTCCCCCCATTACGCACCTGGGCCCAGTTCTCTCTGGGGGGCAGAAGCAGGCTCCAGTCTGGGGATCACAGGGCGCCCCATGGCACTGACAGCTGAACTGACAGGCAGGACCATAATGGCCAGGAAGGCAAGACTGAAGACAGTTTGGGGGCTGCAAGCCAGGGGGGCAAGAACATACCCCACTCTTGGGATCACAGGAGCTGCTGTTGCCACAGCTGCAGGGCTTGTCACACTGTGGCCCCCACACTCCTGGGGCACACTCTGTGGGATAAGGAGAGTGGAAGGGAGTCACCAGGAGCCTAGCCCCTCCTCAGCCTCCAGTTAGTCCCTGTTTCTGTCTCTCATCCCCGAACACCCATTTTTACCAGTCCAGAAAAGGCAGCTGGCTACAATGGGACGCCAGTGGGTAATTGCCCTGGGGTCCTAAGCACTTGTGCCCTGGTAGGGAGGCCACTCCCTGGGGTCACCAGACACTCACCACTGGAGCAGTCATTGCCCCGCCAGCCTGGCACACACTGGCACTGATTGGGCGCCACACAGCGGCCGTGGACACACTCCTGGACACAGAGCGCTGGAGCAGAGATGGGTGTGAGAAGATGTGTCCACCCCTGTGAAACCTTACCCCATCTTCTTCCCACACCAGGGGCCTGGAGTTCAAGCATCAATATTGCCTCTAAGATGACGAAAGATTGAAGGGCAGCAACTCGGGGTCAGAACTTGACAAGACCCTAGCATTCTGGGCTCCCCAGCCCTTTTTTGTGAAATTCTCTAAGCACCTTGTTGGGAAAATTGTGTGGTCCTCAGGTTAGGGTTAGCTGCAGGTGTGACTGAGTCATTCTGGGGAGGAGTGGCTACCGGGGCTGGTGATGGGCTGGGGCTGTGGGAAGGGGGAAGGAGAGGAGGGCAGGCTCTAGCCTGGAGGGTTACAGGGTGCTGGGGGGCCTGTGGACAGAAGAGACTGGACAGCGAAAAGTCAGGGACAGATAGCAACAGAGAGACAGGGACAGGAAGAGACAAAGAGGGACCTAGACACCAAGCCCTGACAGAGAGACAGAGGCAGCCCAGAGACAGAATGAGAACTCTGGGACAGGCAGAGATACAGAGACAGAGACTGCTCAGGGAGGTTGAGGATGGGATGGGGGAAACATGGGCTCAGCTGGAGGTGGGCATGAAGTGGCAACTGAGAGGGGAGTGGGGACAAGGACAGGAGGAGGGGAAGGAGGGGGAGAAAAGCCCAAGAGGCAGAGGAGTAGCTCCACCCTGGGGGAGAAGGTGGGCTAAGCCCCGTCCCATTCAGTGGCCCCAACCCTCCCCCTCCCTGTCCCCACACTGGACTCACGGACACAGGCCCCATTGCTCTCGTAGAAGCCACTGCAGCACCGCAGGCGCTGACGGTGGTCTGTCTTCACCACCTGACGGTACACGGTCCGGTAGACAACCCTGGGGAGGCCTGAAAGGTGACCCTCAGTCCTCCCCAGGAAGGCCCCTGGCTATCTACCTTCACATCAGTGAGGCACTGGGGGAGGCTGGCGGGGGAGGCACCGCTCAATCCTCTGGGCTAGGGGAGCATAGAGTGTCCACTCTTTACTCCCCACCCAACCACACACGCGCATAGAATACGCTACAAGTGGATGCCCCAGACATGCATGCACGTATTCACACATGCATCCCATACACACGCACCCCACACAAACCACACACCATGCTAGGAATGAGTTCCTTGAGGCCAGAGGTTTCCTCTAAACTCTAAAGGTTCTGAGAAAAGAATAGCAGCATGGAGGGCCAGGGGCCAGGCTGAGGCAGCAACTCAGGTAGCCCATCTGTCCGTGGAGGAGGAGGGGACACTCACAAGGGCTGGGGGCAGGCGTCAGGGCCCTCCCAGGGCCGGTCGCAGGGCTCTGAGGGAAGCAGGCTGAAGGGACGGGAGTGGGACTCCTTGGTGGTGGTGGTAAAGCTGCAAGACAGGGAACAGGATCAGGGGCCGATGGCTGGGAGAGGCCTGAGCTGGCACAGGGCAAGGCAGGAATCAGGGGTCTGAGGTCTTGGCCACAGTCAGGCACCAACACCCCAACATGTGGGCTTACTTGCCCAAGCCTAGGACAGGACCCCATCCTGCCTCATCTCTCATCTGGAGGGCTCCACCCAGAATTGGAATGTTCCTGGGACACCTCCCATCAGAACCCGCTTCTCACCCTGTTAGACCAGAGCCTTCTTTTTTTCTTTCCTCCCCTCCGTATATGGGAAGATTGAGCTAAAACTGACTCCTGGGCCCAGCTGATGGAGATGGGTTGACACATTTCTGGCTAAATTCTGCCCCGGGGCTTGTTTCCCAGGCCTGTCCTTTTGATCCCCCTGGGCCAGCCCCTCTACCCGCTCCACAGTGAATGGCTCCCACCCTGCACTCTGTCCTGCAGCCAGCCTCCCACAGGTACCAAGGGATGGGGGATAGAGAAAGGAGAGGGTCAGAGACAGGACAGAGACCAAGACAAGGTGAGAGATGGGGATGGAGTCAGAGGCAGCCCAGTGAGGGGAGCAGAGACAGTAGAAACAGAAAAATAGGAGGGAGGGCAGAGGCTGGAGAGAGGCTGGGAGGCAAGGGAAGGAACTAGGATTGGCAACCCCAGTGGGGACAACCAGGGAGCTAGGTCACAGCAGGAGCCCTCTCACCTTTCCCAGAAGCTGCAGGCATTGGGATCATTGGGCTTGAGAGTTCCAGCCAGCCCCAGGCCCAGGGCCAGGAGAAAGAAGGGACGAAGAGGTGGCGACATTGCAGATGCCTGCAACAGGGCCAGGTGCAGAGCAGGTGAGGGGTGCTGCAGCCGGCAGCCTGGAGGACCATGTCTGCAGACATCTGAGCCATGGGCATGCAGAAGAGACGAGCCTCCTGCCTCTTGTCCTCTGGCCCTTGCTTCCTGGGCTCCAGCTCCCCCAGATCGTACTCTGAATAGACAGTGCACTTCCATGCCTGAGTCTTTGCCTGGAGTTTGCTCAGACACCCTCACCCTCATTGTTCACGTGGAGCACTCATCTTTCAAAGTCCATATAGCTCAAGTGCCACCCCTTCTCTGCTCTGCTCCCCATTCCCCAATGGCAGACTGCACCCACCTATTCCTTCTGGTGCCCTCCAGCACCATTCACCCACCATATATAGCTCAAGTGCCACCCCTTCTCTGCTCTGCTCCCCATCCCCCAATGGCAGACTGCACCCACCTATTCCTTCTGGTGCCCTCCAGCACCATTCACCCACCACCACTGTTTTAGTGCCTGTTCTCTGACCATGACCTTCAGAGGCAAGGACTCAGTGCCCTTTATCTCTGAATCCACCGCAAGCCCAGTCCCTACCCAGGGCACTTTGCTATTTGTACCAGGGTGTGAAGTGGAAATGCTGAGGGGAAGTTGTGAGGGAAGCAGATGGGCTCACTTAGAGCTTTCCAACAGTCAAAGCAGTTCAGTAACGGAATCAGCTACCTGGGGGGGTGAGCTCCCCATCACTGGCAATATGCATGCAGAAGCCAAAACCACCCTAATGAAATGTTGTCAGGGGTTTCCTGCTATATGGGGTGGGAGTGGGGGTGGGTCCAGGTGACCTCCCAACCACTGGTGTGCTGGAGCCAGCTCATGCGGACTTGAGAGAGCCAGCTGTGCTCACACAGGCTTGAGAGACAGTGGGGTGAACTCCATGTTTAATGAGGTCACGTTAGTAGCCTGAAATCAGGCGCGGAGAGCTTATGGACACCATAGAAATCAGCAAACACCACAACCCAAGGCCACCCCTGGCCCCCAAAACCCTTGCTAGCACACTACTGCACCCGTCTCTAGGCGTTCCAACCTGGCCTCAGATTTAAGGGAAAGCTCCTGTCTCCCCACCCCCCACAACCAGCCCATCAGCCATTTGGAAATGGGCTCATCTCCATCTCCCCCACCCCTGGCCTCACCCAGTGGGTGGGAGGAGGGTCAGGACCTCAGCTGCGTCAGTTATCTCAGCTCCTGAGGTCAGGAGAGGTGAGCTCCCTGAGTGCCCGCCCCCACAGCCGGTTTCAGGTTCTGTGTTCCATATTTCTAAAACTTGCCCTGGCTCCCTGCTCTAGGCCTCTCTGAGCGCCCACATCTGCTTACAATTTTTCTGAGAAGAGAGAAAGGTCGCGGTTGCTGGCCCCTTACCCCCCTGAGTATCTCTGGAATGCCTGCTGCCTGGCCCCACCCCACGCCCCCCACCCACACACTCTGCTTTCCCCCAGGTCTCAGAGTAAGATACACTCCCTAACTTAACCCCTTCTCACTCACTGTGTTCCACCCCCACCTTTAATCCCCAGAAGTCAAATCTCCAGTCTCCACCCTCTCATCACACCCACCTCTCCTCCCCAGCCTTCCTCCCTCCATTGCAAACTTCCAGTCCCACAGAGCTGCCATGCCCCATCCTGGCTCCCCAGGGCAAACCTCTACCACTAGCCTTCTCTGTGCTTCCTCCCATCCATCCTCAGACCCCAGGTAACTCACCAGGTGGGCTTGAGGAACTCAGGTGAGCCAAGGATTGGGCAGCACCAGCACAGCCCTGAGGTCTAGGAGGCCAGAGAATGTCCTGGGGGATCCCAGCGCTCAGGACATGGAGCCTGAAAACAGGAAACAGCCTGGCTAGGATGGGGGGCAGGCGGGGTGGGGAGCACGGATAGAGGTTGGGAGTGGGGGTGGCTCCATTCTCCCACCACCCTGAACACAGTGGGTGGGATTTGGGGGAAGGGGCAGGGCCAGAAGCCTCTTTCTGGTGGCTTGGCTCCTGAGCTGACACTGTGGTCCACTCTGATGGGCGAGGCTCAATCAACCCTGTCCCCCAGAGCCAGGCCACAGGAGTGCACTTCAGATGCTCCCTATAGTCTGTCCCAGCACAACCCTCCCACATCACCCCCACACATCCCCACTCGCAGTCGGCTCCTCCTCCCAACATCCCCAAGCAGTCCTCTCCCACCCCTGCCCTATTCTGCCCTCTTCCCAGGCCCAGCCCCCGCCCCCAGGGCTGACTCTGTCTGGTCCCAGTTGACCTCTCCGCCTCTCCCTCAAGCGTGCTTGGCAGCCAGGGCCATGGCAGGACCCTAAGTCTTCTACACATCTCCACCTCTTCTCTCTGTCCTCCATGCTCCCCTCTTCCTGGATGCCTGGCTCTAGCCCTGGCATGGGACCCCTGTCCTCAACTGGCACTCCGTCTGTCTCGAGCCAGGATCATCACCCTTCTCCTTGCATGAGCCTCATCTCCTAAGCCACACAGGGGCTCCCCAGGCTTCCCCTTGGATCTGTCCCCAGAGCCCCGGTGCAGTGAGGTTGACAAAACCAGGAAGGATTGGAGTTGAGGCACAAGGAGGAGGTGCCATGTAGGTTGAGCTGTGGAGCCCAAAGTCCTTCTTCCCATTCACATCAGCAGCGCCCCCTTCCCCCAACCCTGAGTAATAGAGTGTCCCTGTCACCTCCACCTAAGCAACTTCTAGAGGAAATGGTTCACCTGGGGGCTTTGAGATGGATAGAGGAGCATGAGGAGGGGTTGGCTCCAATCCCCCACTCTGGCTGGCCAGGAGACTAGCAGGCTGGAGGGGTGGGCAGGTCTGTTTTCCCAGAGGCCCTCTGGGTAGGGCTGGAGTGTGGAGGAGGCATCCAGCTCGTCAGTCCAGGGGCTGGAAGCCAGGGTGGGGTCAGGGGAGACCAGTGGGTGGTCGGTCAGGAGGAGAGAGATGGGATGCGGTTCCTGACAGGGAGAGGAAGGGTTTGGCCTGACCATTCTCAGCCCCTGAGAAGGGAACACAGGCCAGATCAGGAGGCCAGAGCCCCAGCTTGGCCTCTGGAATTGTTGCTGCCTGAGACTTTGTCTCTGAGAGTGTAGGGCACCTGCGGCCCTGGCCCATGCTCCCAGCAGCTTTGGGCCTCAGGTATTTACACATACCCATCAAGGGATTTAAATCAGACAACTACTGGCTCCCTGCCCTGCACTGGGTGTCCACAGTGCACCCACTGAGGGCAGCCCCTGACCTCCCCCACTGCAGGCTCACTTCTCCTCATACACAGGCTCCTCGCCTTCCCCTACCCACCCTCCATCCTCTGAGCATGTGGTTTGAGGGACCCAAACACCTTCCCTCACAACAAGAATAATAATGTGACCCCTATGTATCACTTACTGTGTTGGGACAGGCAGGGAGCTGAGTGATTTACACAGATCATCTCACTTAAAGCTTACATTAAGCCACTGCAGCAGGTGTTATTGTCTACTTTACAGATGAAACAGGCACAGAGAGGGTAAGAAAGCTGCCCAAGGCCACAGCCAGTAGTGTCAGAGCTGGGATCCAAACCCAAGCTGCTGGCAGAGGCATCACCATGGTTCCAGACTTTCCCGAGCCCAGACAGGAATTCCAGGACTTTGCATCTTCTTTCTAAGAGCCTCAGTGAGAGCTGGCAAGGGGTTGAGGAGAAGGGGTTGGGAGTGGGGGCTGCACAAGAACATGATCAGAGGCGTGGGAACCAAGATGTGTTTACAGTCAAGAATGAGCTGACACATCTCTCTCCTCCACCTCAAGATGCAAATCAGCTGGGCTCCTGGCCAGGCCCTGGAGTCCCGCCTGCATGGGCCCCCAGCATCCCTGCCCTCCAAGCCTCCAAGCTCACACGGGGCCCAACAGAGCTCACTCTCCCTGCTCTTCTCCGAGCTCGTCCTGGCTCTGTCTGGTGGGGATCCCCCTCTACCCTCACTGGGCCCCAGCCGTCCCAAGAGGAGAAAATTAGTCTGGGGTCTTTGGAAGTGGGGAGGGGGTACAGTTCACGGTAGACAGGAGAGGATCTATTTCTATAGAAAGCAAAGAGCAACGGTGGGGCTGATGGAAGTGAGACAGCAGGACGGACTTCCCACGAGCTACCCTCCAGCTTCTCTGAGAAGTGGTATAGCATAGGATAACCCCTGAGCTCCGCAGCCCATTCCCACCCGAGTTCAAACCTGGGTATGAATCCCAGCTCTCAGTTCCCTCATCTATAAAATGGGGATGAGAGTAGCACTTCCTTGGTAGGGTTGTTGTGCAGATTAAATGAGTTAATGTAGATAAAATGCTTAAAGCCAGTACATAATATGCTCCGTGACAGACAGCCTCCTCAGTCCCAGTCCTCCTGCACCCAATAGGGCCCCTTCCCCCCGCCCGTTGGAACTGTCATGCCCTTGGGGTGTTCATTCCAGGAAAAACTGTTTCTTATTTTCTCTGAAGACCCCCCAAGATGATCCAGGAATGGTAACAGAGCCTCAAATGCTGACAGAGAGAAAGGAAGTGGGGGTGGGAGGGGGCCAGGCTCCCCCGAGAACCTGATCCCCCAGAACGACGGACGGGCGGCCTGCCGGGTGCATCTACACGCCGGAGGCAGTTGACAAGGCAGAACGCCTGGGTTCTGCTTCTCCCAGCCTCAGCCTGAGCCCCAGCTTCAGTTCCTTCTTGTTTCTCCTCCTTCTCCCTGTCCTCCCACTGCCTTCATCCTCCTCTTCTTCCTCCCCCTCCTTCTTTTTTTCTTCTCTTTCCCCTTTTCATTTTGGAGTCCAAAGGTTCTAGTCCTGTCTCTGTCACTTACAAGTTGTGTGACCTCAGTTACATCGCTTGAGCCCTCTGAGCCTCTATCTCCTCATCTGTAAAGTGGGAGAACACCCCCACCTCTCCCAAGGTTCAGCAAGGGTTGGAACCACTAGTTCCAGTGACCACTCTAGAAGAGAGCCTCCGACTAGAGCCTGCTCGGTGGATGTGCATTGATGTAGAAACAAAATGCC